GGATATTGAGAGATTTTTTTTTTTTTTTTTTTAATGTGAGATTCGAGGAGGCTTGACTCGAGGCTCAAAACTAAGTCGACCTTCCCTTTGAAACCCCCTTGAATCTCACCTGTGAACATTTGAAACAAAAAGCTAGTTAGCTAGTTGTCTATCTTGCTTAGACACCAGATCGCTCGTGTCTGCTCCCATAACAACACAAGCTCGCTAGCTCCTCTCGGGAAATCGATGATTTGTGCTTTGAACGTGGCCACCATCGAGAGGACGAAAAGAAATATGAATCTAAGAACGGAGACGAAAAACCTAAATTTGATGAGGATGCTTCCTTCCTCATGTACATTTACATGTGTGCCAATGTTGGTTGTTTGGATAAGACCATTGGGAAGATCAAAGAAACCCTAGCAATTACAGAGACACTGAAGTTTAAAAGGTTGTGGATGTCAGAATTCACACATGTTCGTAAAACTATCCACTTCCTTCCAAGCATGTGCCATGCCTTCTTCTGTTCTTCAGTCGATCGAGATGCTCGAGATCAAATTTTGCTTATCATTTAGGCAACGACATGCTTCAACGCTAGCCACTTGTCGATAGTATATGTAGTACATACACGAGCTTGTTATTTGACTGATTCATGAACTTTTTTACTCATGAATACCTACTCTTTTAGGTGTCGTTTATAGCTCAACATCACTCGAGTCTATATCGATCAACTTCTATATACATATTTAATGGCTATCACTCAGACTTGTTGAATTGAACACCACCTTAACTTCTAAGAAATTCCACGTCTTGTTGGAAGACACCAACAAAGTCATCGTACAATGTTCACTTAATGTTGTGATGAGCTGTGACATATTACATTTCAAGGATATTGTACTTGTACCGATCTCATCTAAAACTTGATAAATAAATTAAATTTTTTTAAATTTTAGATACCAAGTGCATTGATTCCACCCATCCACTCCCGGCGGAACCAGGATTTATGATATGAAAACAAAAATCAGAATTCTATCTATGACACGTCAGGGTATGCATAATAGTAAGCTAAGAACCCGACCATGACAAACATTTCCAACGCGTTGGCTGTTGCTACGATTGTTTAAAGGACAAGACAACTATTTTCACTATAGACACGAGGGCTAGCGGACACGGAGCAAAGGCCAAAAAAGTCCAAATTGAAAAGAAAGGCAATACATCTAACAAAACTAACCGAAGCTCACGTTAGTAAATGGGTTTAGTCTTTCATAGACGAATACTTTAACTAAACCATCAGTTTAGTCAGCTCGATTTTAAAAGAAAGTTTAAGTTAGCTCGATTTTGATCTATCAAGTCAAATCAAGTCATAAAATGCATCATGAGGATCGTATCCAAAAGACTTATGGTGAAGAACGAGTTGCATCCCTACTAAGCCGACCTCCCCAAACCCGAATCCATCCCGAAAAAATTGATGCGAAAATCTGCATGTGTTCTAATTATTTCTCAGTTTATTCACTTAAGAGTTTGATTATGATTATTAAGCCTAAAAGGGAGAAAAAAAAACATGTTTTGTTGTTGTGTCGGTCAGCTGAAAAGCACTTCCAGGGTTGCCTTCTTTACAGAACGACAGACAGGACAACATTCCAGAAAAGCTTCACAGTACTCGCACGAACAGAGATGTCTACAAGGCAGAAAAAGCACACATGGATTCCTGTTTCTGCAGCTCTTGCAGCAGCTCAAACTGCCACGGCCGCCATTTTCGCCTCCTTCCTCTGTTTTTTCCTCTGCTTCTGGGTAGTGTGATTCTGCATCTTCGCCGCCATTATCACTGTTTTTTCCCATAATTTGTCTCTCATTAGCTTCTTCCAGCTTGCTGCGAAGCCTCATAACAATGGCTTCTTGTGAATTAGCCATTCTTTGCCATTTCTCCTTCTCTGTCTCTGTTTTTTTTAGCCTCTCTTCGAGCTTCCTTCCTCTTCTAATGGCGACTGCTAAATTCTCTTCCTTTTCCCTCATGACCTTCCACCCTTCTCTTTCTGCTTTGCTTAATAATGCTTTCATTTCTTCCTTCCTCTGTTCTTCTATTGCTTTTCTTAGCTTTTCCTTCTGCATTTACACTCAATCAAGCTAGTTTATTTGGGAATATAAAACAGAGAAGGTACTAGAAACTGGGTTTTGGGTGCTTGCCTGAAAGTGGAGGAGGAGGTCGATCTCTTGGTTCTGTAGCTCGAGCTCGGAATTCAAAGCCGCCATGGATGAGGAAGAAACAGAGGATAGAGAGGAAGAAGAAGGTGGCGGCGGCGGCGGCGGCTGAAAATCTCCGTAATGGAAATGGAACTGGGTTTGTTGAGGATTGAGATGGTCGAGGAAATTAGGAAATGGAGGAAAACTTCTATGTTGAAACGTGAAATTCTCCGAACAAAACCCAGATGGAGCAGCCATGTTGCTGAGCTAAAGCGACTTGAAACAGGGGAAGGTCTCGTTTCCAGAAACAGGGGATGGATGATGCTGGGAAAAGAGGAGGGTGTGGGAGGGTTACATAAATACCGATTTCTTTGAGGACTAAATAAAAATAAGTGATTTGAAAGAAAGAAGAAATTGTCAGTTTAGTTATGGGGAAAACTGAATATTAATAGAATAACCCCTCTCTTTTTAATTATCAATAAATATATTTATTAAATTACAAGTTTAATTTTTGTAATTTGTAATTACCTAACTATTTAGTCTTAAATGATACATTTTTAAATGTTTTATTTTGTATTTTTATCTTAATATTTTTTATAATTTATAAATTTACTAGATAAAAAAAAAAAACACGAGGACGGGTGAAAAGGAGAAATGCACCAGTCCCAACAGAGATAACTATTAACGACTCGTAATTTAAGAACGGGAATTCAAAATCTAAATTTTTTCTAAATGCTTAAATTTAAATGTTTTTTAGAAGCCAATTTGACATAAATATTAAATTTAAAAAATGAAAATGTGTAATTTATTAAATTTTTATATTAAACTATTAACGACGACGTTTTGAAGGAATTCGGAACATCGAACTTGGTATACGCGTTTCTAGTTTCTTTGCCACGTGGGTGTGTTTCCAGCCACACAATCTCTTTCCCTCCCAATTTTATTTTATTTTTAATTTAATTTATATTATTAGTTTACTATTTTTCTAACATTTTCAAAACATTTTTTATTTTAACAACTTTTGCAAATTAATAATTCCAATGAATTTTAATATTTATTAAGATAAATTAAATTTAGATATCTGAAATTAATAATTCCAAGCGGTATTTTAATTTTTCTAAATTTACTTTTATTGATCATTTATCAGCTTTAAAATTGGATAATGTTTTTCATTTTCTAATAAAAAATATTGATACTTTTCTATATTTCTGTTTATTTATTAAAAAAATAAATGTTAAGGTCCCATGTATCTACCTATATTCCTATTAAAAGTCGAATTTCCAGAGTGGCATATTTGCCCACGTGCTTAGATGAAATACCCACGTGCTAAGTAGGACCCATCCAAAACGATGGTATGCCCCGCCATTTCCAAGTTATCCGACGTGTCGTTTCTCAACCCAAAGTAGCAGTTCAATGGTGTCTTTTTGTGCAATAAGTTTTCCACGTGTCAAAATAGAGTTCTATATCATTCCTAATTTTTATTATTTGTAATATATCAATTTTGAGGCTGAAATTGTTCATTAAAAATTGTTTGAAATTAATACTTAAAATTTCTTATGAGAAATTCGATCTCTGTGTAAAATAAAAAAGGGCCAAAATATTAGTTAATGATATATTTAATTAAAGGTAATAAATAACTCATTAATCTATATTAAATTTCTATTTATTAATTATAAATTATTATATAATTAATTTTTATTATAATTAAATCATACATCTAATTATTATTATATTGTACTTGCTTTGTTGGTTGGCTTTCATTTAATAGGAACTTGATTAGTATTACTTTTAATTTAATTAACTTGCACCTTAAGCTTGGATATATACGATTATTAGTTTTGGTAGAGAAATTCAACAATCAATTTTGTTAATTAAGACTTAATTATGTGCAAAGCTTTTTTTAATTAAATTACTGAGTTATGACATAATTTAATTATTGTTTGTTAAAATATTTGGATTTGTAGAGAAACTTAAATACATCATTCAAAATTGATTGGATGCATTTAGAGAAAAACAAAATTAGTGAGATAATAAATATTTTGTAGGCTAGGGGCCTAATACATACAAAATTGAAAAATTGAAAAATCGAAAACTTAATTTCAGTTTAACAAGTGTGAGATCTCACATTAGTTAGAGAGTAGGACGAAACATTTTTTATAAGGGTATGAGAACCTCTCTAGCATACACGTTTCAAAAGTGTGGGACTAATGGCGATACATGACGAGCTAAAGCAAACAATATCGACTAACAGTGAGTTTAGGTTGTTACAACAAGTTAGTTACTTCCATGAGCTCTTCTAGCCTATATATTCCCGGCACTAGAACGTTCCCTACCTCATTGGTTCTTTTGAGCTGTTGGACTCAATATTTCATTCCATTCACTTCGAGATCATGGAATAAACCTCTCGCACATAACTAGGGGAGCCATTAAAAGGTGTTGAAGCCCGAAAATGACAACTATCCACTAACCATAGTCAGATCTCAGCAAGGAAAATGTTGCTAAATTTAGGCCACCCCAACCAAAACCTAAATGGCAACCTAATTTAGTAGGTTATAATTGAGGGAATACCTCAGCCAGAACACAGAGGACCAACCTTCAAGCTATTTATGACCACCAACACAAGTGAAGAAGGACAGTTTCTAAGGTGGTGATATCACTTTCCACCTCCTCCAAGCGTCACATTATCAGTAAAAAGTTGGAGTTGAGTAGCAGAATAAGAAGTATGGGAAGTATTGAAGAGGAAGGTAAAGGCATATCATGGAGTTTGAGATCTTAAAGCTGTTCTAACCTACAACTTATGGCTATTTTTACAGTGAATTCTTTTAGGATGTGTGTATGTTTCATCTACTATTTGGTTCACCGAGTAATGCCTTTCAGCCTATAAGAGACAAGACACCAAATTCAGACCCTTCAATCATCTGAAAGGACAAGAGAAATCGCAATTTGCAACACGGATCTAGCAGATTGTTTTCACAGACAAGCTTTTAAGATCTCACGTCCTATATTGTCTGATATTTTTCTATAACCTAGCAAGACATTGAGTAATATTGACAAACAAAAACTATAAATTGTACTAACTTACGGAATCAATCCTTGCAGATTCTCCCACATCTTTCTCCATTCTAGTATACCATTCACCAACTCTTGTATGTTCTACCATATCTTTTCCAGATTGAAGGTATCTGATCGGTCTCGAGACACCAAAGACAGCAAGATCAGCTAAATTAGGATTTGATCCACCTATTCAGAGACAAATATGTAGTAAAATGGAACTGTTCCTAAAAACCTTTAACTTATTTTCAACTGAACAGAATCGTGAATGAATTTAAGCATACCGAGAAACCGACGGTCTTTCAGGGCATACACCCATGTTTCTGCAGCTCCATATAAGGCTTTGCATTCATCGGTGATGTTATGTTTCTCTTTCAATTTCTTGGAAACAAAACACATGGCTGTAGCCCCGCCATACTTTGCTATTACCCTTTGAGTGAAAGTAAAATTTCCTGCACCAAATTGAAGTTATGCAGGCAAGTCAGGCACTCATGAAAATATTCCATTACTTGAGAAAAATGATTCCAGCTTAAGAAGCTTTCTTCTGCATGTAATAATAGGATAAAAGTAAGGAAGATTACAAAGTGAATATGTAGTTACAACATTGAGATAGGACTGAAGATATATAAACTTAGCAGTTAACATGTAACGACTCAAACCCACCGCTAACAGATACTATTTTCTTTGGATTTTAGATTGTGAGATTTTACATCAGTTGGAAAGGGGAACGAAGCATTCCTTATAAGGGTGTGGAAACCTCTCCTAGCAGACGCGTTTTAAAAACTTTGAGGAGAAGTTTGAAATGGAAAGCCCAAAGAGGACAATATCTGCTAGCAGTGAGTACAGCTCGCTGAGACTACTTCAACTCTGTCCCAAAAGCATTGACGCACCATTCTCAGCATACAGCTATATAGACTGCCAACATGTATGATTACAGAAAATTGAGACTCTATGCATGTACTAGATACATTTCTGAGCCATATCAACCTGCTGCTGAGCATAGCATTTTAGAGACCATTGCTCATCCATCACTATATTCTCTAATTTTAAATCTAGCTCTCTAGTCGATAAACACAAAAAATAGAAAAATAAACATATAACATTTTGTTGGATCAAGCCTATGTCTAAATGAGCATAAAAATCAGTTCCCCAACTATCATGGCCCATACGAACACAGTGTTCGTATGAGTTGAAATTTACCTATTTCAACATAATAAGAAAGTGAAAATTAAATTTTATAATTTTGAAACTAACAACCCCCAGCTAATATATAATTCAATGTGATAAGACAAGATAACAACTAATTTGGGAAATAAACAATAAAAAACACGGTAAAATATGATATAACTATGCGATAATGCCAGCTAAAATAGTTCATAAAATGATCTATTATCATACCATGTGAGGTTATGTAATTAAAAGACTCAAGAGCCTCTTTGTAATTTCTGTATATGTTTGGCGATAAAACATGCACCAGGTGATTATCCACCCACCTACACGGAAAGACATGCTCATCCATCAGTCGCATATGCTACACAGAAATGATGAAACACATATTAGTCGGTCAAAATTCTCTAACAGCCCAAGCCCAAGCCCAAGCCCACCATCAGTAGATATTATCCTCTTCACGAGCTTCCCTCAAGGTTTTAAAACACGTCTTCTATGGAGAAATTTCCACACCCTTATAAGGTATGCTTCTTCAACCATTCCCCTCAATGTGGGATCTCATAATCCACCCATTTGGGGGACAACGTCCTCACTAGCACATCACCCAATATCTGGTTCTGATATCATTTGTAACACTCTAAGCCCACTGCTAGCATATATTGTCCTATTTGGGTTTTCCCTTCAAAGGCTTCCCCTCAAGGTTTTAAAACCCGTCTTTTAGGGAGAGGTTTTCAAACCCTTATAAGGAATGTTTCATTCCCCTCTCAAACCAAGGTTGGATCTCACAAATTCTTTGGTAGGAAAGACTTTGTTTGCCTCGAAAATCTAATGGGTCCATAGAAAAGCTGCTAGAAAAAAAAATGTAGAGAGCCTTGAGATGTAAAAAAGTATACCCAAGCCATTTCCTCTCTTCTTCTGAGATCGAGGCAGAGTTCTCAGGATGAATTCTTTGGTACAGCTTATCAATTATATCTGTACAATCAAAACAGGCCAATTATTAGAACTACTCTAATTGAAAACATTGCAACATGACCAAAGAAAAATTAAAATCTCCATTTTTCCTAGTGATTTCGGATCAGAACGAACCTGTAGAATCTACCATCTGCACACCATCAACCATCAGAATTGGCACCTTCTTGTACTCAGACCACTTAATCTCCTTCTTGAAGATAGGAATCACCTCCACAACTTTATAAGGAACGTTGTAATAGTCCAAGAAGGCTGAAGGGAAGAGATGCAATAGAATTGAAACTTCACAATAAGAACTCTAGCTTAAGCTCAAAGTTCGATTCATTCAAGTTAATGAATGATCTAATGTCCATTCCCATAAACACGTGAGAAATTGCTTCTCATCCACATAATTATTAAACCTAAATAATAGTTGTTCATTTCAATCCACCTAGAACTTCATATTCTGAAAATTCCTCAACGATGTTAGGTTAAATACCTTTAACTTCGTTGCAGAACGGGCAAGCCTCGTACAGGTAGAGAACCACATCCTTGGGTACGAACGAGGGACGCGATGAGTCATTAACCACATCTTGAGCCAAAGATGAAGAGGCCACAGAGATGCACCGAACATTTCCAGCAACTTTCCGAACAGAAGAAGGATAATACAAACCAAATTGATTCGATCCTTGCGAGAAACACCGAATATTCGATCCAGTACACGTTCAGTGCACTGCCGATTGGCGGAGGACCCACCGATAAGTGGTGGCGGTAACGGCATCACCACTTACAATTCCGTTGAGTACATGAACTCCTTTAATCCTTCGCATGGCAACCAAGATCACACTGGAAGTCGGATTCCCTTGCAGGGGTTTGGAAAGGAGGAATTGGTATGATTCCAGCCGTTGATGTAAGGATGGTGCACAGTATTACGATGATTCGCGAAGCAGTAGATTACATCTCGTCGGAACTTTCCTACCTGCGTATGGGAACGCGTCAAACAGCCGGCTCCATACAATTGAATTTCCCAAAAAGCCCTTTAAAAATCTCAAATTCTCTTTTTTCTTTAAAGGAAAAATCATTTTTACAATTTTACTGATAATTGGCATAAATTGTTTTAATTGATAAATTTCAATATTTACAAAATTATTAGAAAATTTTAAAAATAAATTTAAATGAACGAAATTAAAATTTTAATTAATTGAAGACATAAATTTCATTAATTTATTTTTTTTTAAAATGCCAAATCTAACTTATAAATGATAAAATTCCGATATTATCAATTAAAAGTTAAAACATGATAAAAGGCGTAAAAAAGCTACAAATTTCGGAAGAAGAACGGGAAGGGTAAAATAGGTATTTACAGTCGAAAGGCGGTAGATCGGCTCTATAAATAAAGTGCCTCCCCCGTTTTCGAAGCCGCGTAAGAGTCATTTAGGTTTTCCAATTTGCCGCTCCAAAGAAGTCTTCTTCGTTCTCCGCTAGGGTTTTCATCGCAATACCGTCTCTTCTGTTTTTCTCAAATCTGAACTTCGATTCTCCTCTTTCTTTCAAATCTTCGCCGAACCCTCCCCATAATAGACACAGATGTCTCGTTGTTTTCCTTACCCACCTCCTGGTTACGTGAGGAAGGTGGCTAGGACCGAGGCGGCCTTGATCGAATCGATTAAGGTTTGTTTGAGCTATTTGGTTGGTTTTGATAATGTATGCTGAATTCAATTGTGTTCTGATTCCAATTGATTGCGAAATCTTCTTGGAATTGGTAACTTTTTGGATAGGGGTATATCTATAATCAGGAACGGCTTTTTGTTTTCCTCTAATTTTTGCGACGATGGGGGAAGAATGGATTTGGGTTCTCTTGTTACGATGTGCGAGATTTTTTGTACCCTAATAATTGGATTCTGATTTCGGATTATTTGGAGTTCAGAGTGTGTAGATGGTGGTTTGGGGTTCTGATAGTTGCATGTCGTACAACTCGTTCTTAGATCTTGTATGGATATTCGGCCTTTGGATCTCGTCATGGTTTTCTAAATGCCCTTAAACTCCGTTCCTTTTGCTTTCAAATGGATTGTTCTCTACAATTTTAAAAGGAAGATATTTAGGGTTTCCCGTAAGCTAATTAACGTGAACCCTTTTTTGGGAATTTTTCGTACAACCTTCAATCCACGATATCCTTAGACATTTTAATACACGATGTGAATTTACGTATTTGCTACTTCAAATTTATGATTATCTGTGTCCAGATGAAATACTCCTTTACTATAGGAATATCTACCCTTTTGAAGGGTTGCATTTTATTAGTAAGGCATGGTTGACATGTTTGGTGCTTGCGTCGTCTACTCTGTTTTAAATGGTTATTCTGGTGCGTTATAGCTCCAATCTGAAAGACGACAGCACAAGACTGATAGCAAGAAAGAGAAAAGTAAGCACAAGAAAGAAAAGAGCAAGGACAGGAAACACAAAAGCAAAGAACGTAAGGAAAGAAAGGAAAAATCTTCCCGTAGCTTGAATGATCAGAAACAGAAGGCATGCGTAAAAGAGGCCAAGGATCGTCTAGAGGGAACCAAGGTTGAAGCAGAACAATTAGAAAAGAGTGGTCTCACTGAAGAGCATGGACAACCAGTATGGCCTCATAGTCCTGGCTACTTGTCTGATGGAACTCAGATCAACCATAAGAGGAAAAGGGATTCACTACAGCCTGATGAAGGTTGTAAACCTGGTGTGTTCTCTTTATAGATAATAGTCTCACTTATGAAATAAATTCTCTTGGCCACTTGAGCAAACGCTAATATGTTATTGATTTCAAACAGGAAAAGTAATTCGGATCAAACTGGCTTCTTCACTAAGCCAGCAAGAGAATTCATCAGCTGGCAGTGAACAGACGTGTTCTGTATCTGGTCGTGATTGCTCTCGTGATGAAAACAGCTCAGTTGTTCGGCGATCAACTTGCTTTGCCAATTCTGAAACGGCCCTTGCTGTCAAGGATTGCACATCTTCTAAACCTAAGATCAAAGACCCTCCTCCGCATGCTGTCAAGGAAATTAGCTCACTAGGTAATGTTATGTCATTACCACGTACCAGAAGCCCTGTTGAATCTGCTTACGAGGCCTTGTTTGAGAAGTGGGTACCACCTCCACTTCAGTTGGAGCAACAAATGGATGATGAAGAATGGCTCTTTCCAACCGAAAAGCAAGATGGACGAAGTTCAAAGACCAATGAAGCCTTCAGTTCTATTCCCAGCTGTAGAAGTTCCAGTCTGTGGCCGAGAGGACAATATCTTGCCGATGCCGATGTTTATTCATTGCCTTACACGATCCCATATTGATTTTGAATTCTTTACTCGCAGAGATGTGTACAGCCAGTAGGAACAATAGTCTTCGCGTTATAATTGGTTTAGAATCAAATATAATTGACATTCAATTTTGTTCTCTCCTGTGAGACAATGAACAGGCATGCTTTGGGGATGTGATGCAAGTGTAAATTCTTAGTGTTGATGCTATATATAGCAGCTTTTGCCTTAAGATTTTGTTCATATCCATTTTTGTTTATGCCAAGAACATACTGATCCATCAATTCTTGAAAGTTTAAAACTAAATTTTTATCGCTTTTTGAGATCATTGGTTGTAAATTTATTGGGAAAAGTTGAAGATTCAATTTATGTTTGACACATGAGCTTTCAAAGGAATGGAAATAGACAATATAATGTTAGGAGTACTAAACCATGTTCATGTTCATGCCCAGGGAGCAGTTCTTTTAGGTATCTCATTAATACATGAACAAATTCAAACAGAGAAATTGGGGGGTTAGCAATGTTGGTGGTCATCGCTAACAAACAGATTGCAAAATAAGAAACAAACATCATCCATCACTGTTCTATTTGCATCTTGGAATGTCAGCTTGGGGCCGTATCCTTGGGATGACATGGGATTAAAGATATGCTGAGAAAAAGGCGAGTACATATGAAGTTGTCGTTCCTTCGGCACGAGCAAAAGCATATTCCTTCCGCAATCATAACACCGAACAGACAGACTGCGACTTCTTCTTCTTCTTCTTGGACTTGGGCGGCTGGAGCACCACTTTAATGGCTGCATCGAACACTGCTTTCACATTCTGCATCAATAAACCATCCAACATAATCCTTCAATAATGTGTGCACTCATACGCAAACCAAAAACAGATGGGTATCTATCATCATGCCTGCTGGGTTTTTGAACTGCACTCAATGTATGCTGGGGCTCCGATAGTTTTTGTCAACTCCTCTCCCTACAGTCAGTAAATAACACAGCATATTCAACCAAAAATCGCCTTCGTACATGTGCTAACGAATGTAGTTATGAAGGTATTTATTTACCTGAACAGTGGTAATGGGCACCGCACCAGGGTGGTCTACAAAGAACTGCTTGTCATCCCGAAGATCTAAGAACGAAACACAGTGAGGTGAATTGCAAGATTATACACTTATGTGATGACAATGATGATACTTACATCGCACATAAGGAAGGTGGAGAATTTGAACTTATGATCTCTTAGAGAAAGTAGTGATGTTTTAACTCAGTTATTCTCGTATTGGATGGATGGATGGATGGATGGATGGATACGACTCTTGAGAAAAAAAATTCTTTCAACACGAAGAACTTGTGGATGGATGGATGTGCACACATCTCGGGTTGTGGCTCTTTAGGCTTTTCAACTTACTTCAACTAGGGAATGGCATGCAATGTGAAGAAAACGCTCTCGCTAACTTACGAAGGGTGGTGTTGAGGATCAGGATTAACTAACTATCTTGAAAATCAGAACTAACCCACTACTCTACTAAAGCTGACTTCAAAACGAATAAATAATTCTTACCAAGTTTAGTTCCAACAAGAACTATTGGAACACCAGGTGCATAATGTCTCAATTCAGGAATCCACTGTGTGAAAATGTAAAAAGGGTCATCGGCAAAGGTATAATTTTAGCATATAAACAGTTAATATCGAGCTAGCTAGCATAATAATCAACTTCATCTACAGCTTGCTACCTTCTTGGCAACATTTTCATAGCTGGCCTTGCTTATGAGAGAGAAAGCAAGAATAAAAACATCAGCACCTCGATAGCTCAGTGGTCTTAATCTATTGTAATCCTCTTGACCTGTTCAAAAGAGTAACTTCAAATCCCTTCTAAACATTAAATAAAATGATCAAATAGGCTATTGGGCGGAGAAATTAGAACTCTCATCATGTGGTTACCAGCAGTATCCCATAATCCTAGGTTGACCGTGTTCCCATCAACCACCACATTGGCACTGAAATTGTCAAAAACGGTAGGCACGTAGTCCTGCAAATTAAGCGTTAACGGGTGCATTGTTATCCAAAAACGCGCATTTCGGGCAGAAATTGAACCCCACAAGCTCAAATCAAGGCTTACAACACACCAACAGTTTTCAGATACGAATTATTCGAGTAATATAATGTATCATCATCATCATCCAAGCTCGCTTAAATGCTTTAAAACAATAAGATACACGAAACAATAGTCTTCGAAAAAAGGAAATCCGGAAATTTAATCATTCTTTTTGCTCCCATTCAAATCATGCCATGAAAAACTAAAAAAGGCAACGAAGTAGGCTTGGCTAAAGGAATAATCAAGAACATTTCCCTCTTAAATATCCTACAAAATAGAAAACCATCATTATTTCCTTCTTCCCGTGGTTCTTCCACAAGATCCAATAAAACTTTCTAACAACAAGCAAGCGAGAATAAGAATGATGTTATCGAAAATAAAAACACACTCGAGACCTCAAAATTGCAGGAAAACAGAAGAAACGAAAAGAAAGAAACAAAGAAACTCACCGTGGGGAAAGTGTTGCTCGTATACGAAATCAACATACAGGTTTTACCCACGGCACCATCACCAACCGTTACGCACTTTATAAACCTGGACGCACTCATCTCGAAGCACCAGATCCGAAACACGAAAACTACAATGCCTCGCTCGAAGTGGGCGTTCCCTTGCTCTCCTCCCTCAGAATCGATCGTTCATCAGGGCCAGCAAAAAGAAAGAGAAAATCAGAAAATCAACAGTAATCCATCGAGGATATTGAAGATAGAGAGGAATCAAAGAGAGTGGAGGATCTGAATTCTTGAAAAGGGAGGAAAATGGGGAATGCAGAGTGGAGAGATCCCAAATTGCAGGAGCCAGAGAGAAAGAGAGAAAGATGGGAGGAAAATGGGGTTATTTTGAAAGAAATGAAATGCGGTTGAAGCGCTCGCCCGCCTTCCCCACCTTCTGCCACCAATCCCTTCCCCTCTACCACAAATAACCCACTTTCTCTCTCTCTCTCTCTCTCTCTCTCTCTCTCTCTCTCTCTCTCTCTCTTAATTATATAATTTTCTTTTTATTATTTACTCCACTCACAAAAATAATATGATTCCTAAAAATAAATCTTTAAATATTAATGTAATTTTCAAATTTCTTTATTTTACTTTTTAAATTTTTATAATACTTAATTTTAGACCGGAGGAAAATAGCAGCTCGACTCTTTACCCCGGCCCAGATATGGATTTTTGATCGAGCCCCCTATTGTACTAATGTCTATATCCCACATCGCTCGTAGCCCGACTAGCCTGCTAGTGCCAGTGGGAATTCTCCCATTCCATTTAAATGGGGAAGGTTTCCACATCCTTATAAATATGGGAGGTCACAATCCACCCCTCCTTCGGAGTCCAGCGTCCTCGTTAGCACTCTTCCTTCCTTCAATCAATGTGGGACCATCCTCAAATCCACTCCCCTTGAGGGCCCAGCGAGAAGCCTGACACATCGTCGTCCAGTGTCTAATTCTAATACCATTTGTAACAATTCAGGCCCACCGCTAGTAGATATTGTCTCTTTTGGCTCTCCCTTTCTGGCTTCCCTTCAAAGCTTTAAAACGCGTTTGGTAGGAGAAAGTTTCCACACCCTTATAAATGGTGGGTTGTTCTCCTCCCCAACCAGTGTAGGACATTACACTCCATCTAATTTATTATATATAATCAAAGTAGGGATCAAAATAATTAACAAATTTATGATTTTAGTGACTAACATTAATATTTTATATTAATAAAATAAAATATAGCAATCTTGAAAATATGATGATTAAGAAAGGTTTAATATTGTTAATTCCATTGTTATTTTATGAATTTTATTTTAAAATTTTAAAATTATTATTATAATTATGTTTACTTATTTTTATTTAATTATTATCATTATTGAAAAATGAATGGAACGTGGCCAGCATAAGGTGGTAGAATGGACGTGCGTTTCTTGATATAAATAAATATTTTATTTTTTAAATCCATTCGAAAACCAATTATTAACATTTTTCATACCAAAAATAAAAATAAAAAAACATTAATTCTTCCCCTCAATAATTAAAATTATCTTAAAGTTAAACCCGCTTATAAATAATTTGTTTGGTTGAATTTTATCTATTTTTTTAAATTATTAACCAATTTTAAAAAATATAAAAAAAAATATGCAAAGCATAATAGTCTTCAATTTATTTATTAAAATATGTTCTAAAAACAATGTATATTAAAATAAACAACAAAGTATTTTAATTAGTGTTGAATATAAAATAAAAAAAATAAAAAAAAAACTTTTTATCCCCTAGTTTTGGTTTACTAATTTGAGTTTTTACGCAATATTTTAATATTTGACATGCCAAAATGTTACTTAACTCATATATATATATCATTAAAATGTGAGATCTTTAAGAGGGAAACGAATTATTCTTTATAAGAATGTAAAAACATCTCCTTAACAAACATGTTTTAAAATTGTGAGATTGATGAAGAAACGCAACGAACCAAAATGAACAATATTTGCTAATGGTGGGCTTTGAAAGTTACAAATGGTATCGGAGCAGGTGTTGGGCCCTAGAGGCAGATTGTGATATCGAAATTCATAAAAATAATTTTTATTTTAAAATGTACTATATTAATAATCAATTATTAAAGTTGAAAGTAAAATATGTATATATTAATAAACGAAAGGCAAAATAGATATTTAAATATTCTCGACAAAATTTTAATGGAAATTAAAACTGTAATTGAATATTATTTTATGGTAAAGGATAAGGAAAATAAGGTATCATGTGAAAATACAGAAAAGGACAAAAGGAAAGGGAATGAGTCAGCAAATTGAATCGCGCTGATTGCGCGGAACCACTCACGTGACTCCCAAACGGCGCTTCGGAATTCGGGATCCTCCTCACGTGCTAATAAATATTATTATTATTTTCAATTTTATTTTTTTGTTGTATTTATTTATTTATTTGTTTTTATTTTTAGTCTATAGATTCGCTCTTTAAATAGTTTGGGGAATTTTTGTTCTCCATGTACAGCCAAACACAAATAAACGTAACTATTATAATTAATTATGTTTCATTAAAAAATAATTAAATATATTGGAAAAATATTTTATAGAAATACGAAGGGAAATAATCAAGTGCGAGTGGTTCCAATAGGCCCGGCCCAATAATGGCATTTTCGAAAATAACGTA